AAAAAAATTGAGATATAATTGACATATAACATTATATTAGTTTAAGGTATACAACATAATAATTTGATATTTGTATATACAAGTAAGTTTGGTATTTGTATATACAGATGCTGCTTGACTTACGATGGCGTTACGTCCCAATAAGCCCATTACAAATTGAAAATATCATTAAATCAAAAATGTATTTAATACATCTAACCTACAGAAAATCATAGCTTAGCCCTACCTACCTTAAATGTGCTCAGAACATTTATATTAGCCTAGAGTTGGAAAAACCATCTAACAAAAAGCTAATAAAGTGTTGACTACCTCGTAATCTGTGACGAGCATTGTCTTTACAATCATAATGTTGAAAAATCATAAATTGAACCATTGTAAGTTGGGGACCAACTATATTGTGAAGTAATCACCACAAGAACTTTAGTTAACATCCATCACCATACAGTTACAAATTTTTCTTTTCTTGTGATAATTTTTAAATGTAGTCTTCTGGCAACTTTCAGATATACAGTACAGTATTATTAACCTTTTAATACATGAACTCATTTTATCCTTACAACCACTTGAGGAAACATATATCATCATTAATCTTCATTTTACAGAAGCTAAATAACTTGCCCAAGCTTGGACAGCTAAGGAACAGCAAAGGTAGAACTCAAACCTGAAGCTCTTTTATTCCAACGCTTATGCTCTTAACCACTGCAATAGATATTACCCCTCACACACATATCTAAAAAAAGGGAAACAAACAGAGACAGATACACAGAGAAGAAGAAACTATGTAAGATGAGACAGACTAGGATTTTTAAACATAGACTATTCATTACACTCTGTCGATCACGTGTCATCCCTAACTCCTAAACAATGACCTCAGCTTGGAGGCAAAGCTCTGAATGGGGAGGTCACAGTAATCCTCTAGAGACTTTAAGTTCACTTTAATTTATAAGAAATGGAAGAACATAATTTTAGTATAATTTAATGCTTATTTTTCTAAAACTTGAAAATGATGAAAACATTTCCTAAGCCTAAAGTATATCTTTTCCCTAAGGCTGGATTTAAAAAAATGTGTAGTTTTTCTGCATTTGGGAATTATGTTCTTAAAACTTACCAAAACTGATCGTAAGGTCAGTAGTACTAAGACAGTACTAATATTGCATAGGAATTATTTGATTAGAACTAAGAAGTAAGCAGAAAAAATATTTTAAGTTATGTATTAAAGCTTCAAAGAGCTAACAAGACACTACTTAATCAAGACCTGGGAGAGGATAAGATTCAAGAGAGATGAACCTAGATTTTGTGACTGCAAATGCCTTCAGATGTATTACCTGAAATACACAGTATTATGAAAGATAAAAATCTAGTTCAATCCCTACCAAGCGTGGGATCATGGTACACCATGCTTTGGGCTGAGACCCTGAAGGGCTGAACCCCAGGGGTAAAGGTGAAGTTAAAAGGACCTCAGAGAGGTGAGCTGACTCGCAGCCTCTTTTTCCCTTGGGAATTTTGCTGATACTGGGCATGAGCAGAGGTCTGAGAACCAGTACTTCCTACTAGCAGAGAGCTGCTGTGGGGATAAGAAACCAGCAAGCTTTTATAGGAAACTAAGGGAGCCTCAAACATACAGCCAGTTATCCTGTTGGGATACGTGCCAAATCCTGAGGCTTTACAGAATGGGAGGCTAAAAATCTCATCGGAAAGCCTTTGAAAAGTAGAGCAGACGTTTTGGCAGTCTCACAAGATGCAGACTAGAGTTATGAACCTGCCAGAGGGAGAAACCCCAATAAATTCCCAGGCTCTCAGTTAAAATCCCTAGAGGGCTATGTTCTTGGAATGAGGATGAGCCAAAAACAGCTTGAGCTTTACTAGAGGTGCAATCCAGCCTCCAATCCGAATAGTCCATGATTGGGTTAAGACGATCAGCTACCATTATGACTGCCTACTAGAGGGAAGGGAAACTATCTGGAGGCATTATGTAAAAAATTGGAGGGCATGCCAAACACAGAATGACAGGACCAAAAATGAGATAAACATGGACAACAGAAACAGATCCAGATATTGGAGTCATCAAAAAAGAATTTTAAAATAACTATGTTCATGTTCAAGTAAACAAGAAAAAGGGTGGAGAAAAATAAATAAAACAATGGATAATTTCAATAGAGAATTGAAATGTATTTAATAGAATTAGGAAAGCAATGTGGAAGTTCCTCAAAAAGTTAAATACAGAATTACCGTCTGATTCAGCAATTCCACTTCTAGGTATATACGCAAAAGAACTGAAAGCAGGGACTCACATACTTGTACACCAATGCTCATAGCAGCATAATTTACAATAGCCAAAAGGTGGAGACTACGGTTGACCCTTTAAAAACACAAATTTAAATTGCAACAGTCCGCTTATATGTGTTTTTTTAAAAAAGCTTTCATTGTCCTGGCTGAGTAGCTCAGTTGATTGGCATGTTGCCCCATATAGCAAAAGGTTGCGTGTTCCATTCCCAGTCAGGGCACATCCTTAGCTATTGGGCCCATTTCCTGGTCAGGGTGCATATGGGGGGCAACGATTCAATGTCTCTCTCTCACACTGCTCACACTGATGTTTCTCTCTCCCTCTCTCTCCCTTTCTCTCTCTCTAAAATCAATAAACATATCCTCAGATGAAGATTTTTTTGAAAAGCTTTCATTTTATACTTTAAAAATATTTTTTTCTGGTTGCTTTATAGTTCTAATCAAACAATTCCCATGTAATACTAGTATATACTGTCTTAGTACTACTAGTTTTGGTAAGTTTTAAAAACATAATTCCCAAATGCAGATAGACTATATTAATTTTAAAGCCAGCCTTAGAGAAAAGATGTTTTAGGCTCAGAAAGTTTTTTAATCATTTTCAAGTTTTATTAATATAAGGAATAAATTAGCTAGAATTACATTCTGCTTCTATTTCTTATCAATTAAAGGAAAATAATGAGGTACTATAACTCACTCATAACAGAATATGTACCAACATATGCCTGAGTTTTGAAGGTTATTGTATTAATGTAAGATAAAAAATATCTGTTTCACTTGGCTTAATTTGTTAGAACAGTAGTTCTAACATCACCAGATGATGTTAATATTTCTTTCTGGGAGGGTTGTGGTAAGGGTGGCTATTTTTCCTAATTCAGGGTACTTGCTTTCTCTGGAGATGCACAATGCACACTAGTATATTAAAGACTTTGAGAAATCTTCAGTAAAGTCAGCTATTTACCTTTGTTTAATCCCCTGTTTTCATATATATTTGGCATTTGACATCTTTTATCCATGAAATACCTTGTAATATGTTCCTAGGCACCTAGTTTGAGAAAGGTGGTCTAGAAGAAGGGAAATAAACATTTCAAATAGTTTTGGTTATTTATATGATATTATTGTTGATAGTATAACTTGGGCTTCTTTCTTCTACATTGAAGGTGAGTTTTATAGGGATTTTTGTTAGCTTTAATAAACTTTAGCTTCCTTTGTCAGTCTTTTCTGACATAGGGTAGCAGAGAGAATATGAGCTTTATATAGAGACAGAATTAGGATCAAATTCTGGCTCCACCATCACAGGCAAATTCTTCTCTCTCTGAGTCACATTTCTTTATTTGTAAAATGGGCTTGGGAGGAGGGACTTTCATAGTATTATGTTAAGTATTAATGGACATGCAAAGTCCCTAGTACATTGCCTGGCCCCAGAAGTTCCTCCTATCTTAAAATTCCTCAAGGATCTAGAATGACCAATTGGAATGGACATAAGATTGATATCTTTGAACCTTGATCTGGACTCTCCTTTGCTAATTAATTCCCCTGCTGTTTATACTTCTTATATTATTTAGTAATTTCCCCCTTGCCTAGTTAAGAGGCCCTAATACTTCTATAGAATAATTTTTTAAAAATCCTGATAGAGTACCTTGAGTTAAATTGATTTTTATTTCCTTAGAATTTTGGAAAACTCAGGTCTCCCTGTCTTATGTTCCTATGATGGTTGTTATTATAATACTTATCTTACCTTACTGTAATTATTCATTTTCTTCTCCCATATAAGTTTGTAAGGTCAGGATCCCTTGTCCCCTGCTATATGCACACACCTAGCACCACTGGCGTGGGTTAAGAGTTACCACTCAATAATTATAGAATCTTAAAGTTAATAATTGGAATCCCAACCATCATTGTTATCAAAAATATAATTCTCAGAAGAAATGTTTAAATAATATTTATATCAGAATATATTAGCAGAAAACAAGGTGTTAAATGTACTTATCCTCAAACATTTAAAATACAGGGTCCGTCAGAAGTAAGGCCTGCTTGAGTGTGGTTGGTAGGGTAATAATATGGGTGTATAATTTATAGTTGTAATTTGAACGGTTCACCTAAAATGTCATATGGTGTGCTTGAGTGTGAGATTGTTATGTTACAGATTTATATATGCATGATATTGTACTGAAAAAGGGACAATATTTGTACCAGACCCTTTAATTATGGAACCAATAATTACCACTAGAAATCTTAGACTGATAAGAGTGATCTAAGATAGAGTCAAACATTAGGATAGAAATTAAATAATAAAAAAAGTATATGCTTTTTAGATAAATTTCTGGTATTCAAGAATGACTCCATTTATTCAAAAGATGTATTCTGGAAAGGTTGCCTGTACATAACATTTTCATACTCTAAATATTAAAAACCCTATCTGATTACAGTAAATTAATCTTAAAGTATATTTGACAAATAAAAATCCCTCTTGGTAATGAAAATGTTCTCAATACTAGTCTGTATTATATATTTAGACTTCTCAATATTAGATTTTTTTCAAAGTGGGGAATAGTCCTCACAACTTGTTCATGTCAAAATGCTAAGAAGTACAACTCTAAGGTCAAATTAACTTTTACTTTTTGAAAATATTATTAAATATGTAAGGAGTAAATATAATGTTATCAATATAACTTATTAATCTAGGTTTTTCCATATACCTGAAAATATAAAATACTTACTATTATTTTCTTACAGTCCTTTCCTCTGCATAGTTCTGTATAGGTGGAATATTGCACATATATAATCCAGCTTCCAACAAAAACTGCCAACCAGGAAAAGAAAAGATATTTCATCCGCACATGTGAGAAGCGAGCCTGTGAGTAAAAGAGCAGATAATCATTCATTCAGCACCAAATCAGCATTCACTGTCCTAGAACGCGAAATTTCCCCCCTTCTTGGAAGAACTCAATATATATTCTAGGCTTTCATATGGCAATTCTCCTAGAACAAAGTGTACTTTCACTGAGTTCAAACAGTACTGGTCTTAGAAAAGGAAGCTCCTAGGTCCTGCCAAGGAAAAAGGGAACAAAATACCCTTTAAAATGTATAACCTTTCAAATACCACCAGCATTGAAGGCTACTTATTTAGCACAAGCACGTGCACCATGCTACCCTGGACACCCTGCAAGATCAGGTAAAGAGAGACACAATTTCTATTTACTACAAACTTACAGAGGACTGTTTCAATAAGAATCTTGAAGTTCTTTATGGATAATTATGCTAAAAATAACTGTGTTTTTAAAATATAAGAACAAAGAATTTGGCTAGTTGCCCAATGCCTCACAATGAGGTACAACCAGAGTAAGAAATCAAACTCTTATTTCCCTACTGTGTTCACTAATGCCTTATGTTCCTTCTATTCAACCAACCAAATGCTTCACCTGATAGATATTCTGCAAAGTTGAGAATGTTAAACAATTATTAAAGAATAAATGATTGGAGAAGAAAAGTTAAGACATATAAAGAATACATTACTCCTTGCAAGTCTGCTTGTAAAGCTGCAAAATAAGATGTTTAAATACCAGTCTTTGTGAAGGTAACAGATGGTGAATCCCATTACCAAAAGCATAAGGGCAACAAATTCACAGTTAAATAATAGGTCTCTAAGCTTTATTGTTTTAGTTTTATTAAAATAATAAATTTATTAATTTTTATAAAAATGCTTTTAACACATTTTTTTGTATAGTCTAAGTGAACTCAGTAAAAAGAAAATGCAGACAATTCCAAATTCAATCACGTAAATGACAACAATACCAAGGGTTTTGTTTGAAAGACATTTAAAGTTAGTTGGCCCTGAAATAAGCCAGTCAGAGAAAAACAAGTACCATATGATTTTGCTAATATGTGGAATCTAATGAACAAAATGAACTAACAAGCAAAACAGTGACAGACTCAGAGAGAGCAGGCTGACAGCTGTCGGGGTGGAGGGGCGGGAAGAAGGGTAGAGAGATAGAGCAAAAAAAAAAAAAAAAGAGAGAGAGAGAGAGAAAGAGAGAAACTCACAGACACAGACAACAGAGTAGTGATTGCTGGGGCAGGGGTAAGGTTGGGAGAGGAAGGTGGAAGAGGTACAGGGTGGATAAATGGTAATGGAAGGAGACTTGACTTGGGATGGCGAACACACACACAGTGTACAGATGATGTGTTCTAGAATTGTGCACCTGAAACCTATATAATTTTGTTAACCAGTGTCACCCCAGTAAATGCAATAAAAAGGAAAAAAAGATGGCCATAATAAGAGGTCTAGTCATCAGACAGAAATGGACATATAATAATATTATGAGGCTTAAGTATGATTAAATGACATACCTATAGAATGTAAGTACATTCCTCCGCACATAGAAAAACATCCAATAAATGTTATCTAAATCAATATGCAAGGCACTAAGCAAAAAAAAAAAAAAAGAAATGCTGCCATTATTCTTTTTTGAACTTGCCAAGAAAACTGAATCTGAATCTGATCAAGCCTTTAGCTCCAACTACCAGTTTACAGGAAACACAGGAGACAGAGAAACCTAATACAGTGACACTTAAGTGACACTATTTGACTACAATCAGCAAACTCTAGGCTGTGGGTAATGCAGCAACACACAAGTTTCTTCAAGAAATAAACTGTAAGGGGGTAAGAAAAGACAGTATGAGAAAAACTAATGATCAAAAATATTTAATACATTAAAGAAATCAAATAATCACAATATATGGATTTTTCTTTAAACATGCCGATCTTTTTTGAGTCCTGATTCAAGAAAAGATATGTGTGTGTGTTGGGGGGGTGACATTTATGAGATAACTGAAAATTTGAAGACTGGCATGATACCTGATGATATTAAGGAATTATTTTTATATTTTACTCAATAGGTATGCTAGGGGTCTGTGGCAATATTTAAAGAGCCCTAATCTTTTAAAGATAGATACTGAAATATTTATTAAAGAATTTATATATCTGGAATTTGCTTCAAAATGATATGGGAAGGGAAAAGTATGGGGAGTATGGTTGAAACAAGATTGGCCATGAGTTGATAATTGTTCAAGCTGGGTGACAGGTACATCCCTTCTTTGGTATATTTTTTCTCTCCTGATTCAAAAATCTTTATATTGTACAATAAGACAGACTGCCACACCAAGACACCCCTTCCCACACATTCATTCAGCAGCTATTTATTGATTGTCTACGATGTGCCAAGTAACACCTTAGGCACTTTCAGCACATCTCTAGTTAGGGACAAACACAAACTAAATCTGCCATAGAAGTACCATTAAAATAGTTAAAAGCGTAACTTGAAGGGCCATGGCATGACATAATTTTACTCTTAAAAGTCTAATCTTATATTAAGTTAATACTTTAAATGAGTTTTTTGAGACAGGGTTTTAAAACAAGATTAATCTCAACTCATCTAGTAAAAGAATTAGGGCAGACCTGACACTATATTCTTTTTTCCTCTTCCTGCCTTTGTCCACAGCAGGAATACGTCACTGAGTAAAGAAAACCACACAGACTCTACTGGTGAATAGGGTTCTAACCCAGTGTTCAAGATTCAGTCCTAACTTCTTCTCAAAAAAATCTAGTGATAACAACTGTATTTCAGATTCTCCATCAATAACTTTTATTTAGGTTTTTGTATAAATGTTCAATAAAACTGCCATAAAATTCTTTCTAACACATAGTAAGTTTAATAGATATTGGAAGCTAAGACTTTTGCATATTTCTCCCTCATATGTATCTAATTTAATAAATCAAAATCATTTTGCATTACTATATAATTCAAATAGCTATATTTTAAATTTTTCTCTGGCATATGTTTAAACTGAAAAACAGCCTGTGAACTGGCTTGCCTGCTGAGTGCTCGTCACGATGCAGAATGCCAAAAATTTTGGAGAGGAAGTTAGATTAATGACGTTCCCAGCAGGGCACTGGAGATCACCTGTTGTAGACATAATGCCAAAAGGAGTGAAACACATTTTTATTCCAGCATGCCATGGAAAATTACTGTGATTTTGGTGTAACACAAAACAGTACAAGAACCTTCATGTGTGCTCTGATATCTACAGATCCTGCTACTTCATATTTAAAATAGCGATTGAAGAAAAACAACCATAAATGGCATGTGTAGCTATTAACTAATTTTATTGCTCTGTGTGACATTCACTAAAATGCTTCCAGTGGTCGGTTCTGTACCAATTACCCAGACAATCTCATCTTTGATTAAGAAATGTAGTTATTGTAGTTATTGTTTCTGACCTTTTCATTTATGTTGAACTATTGAACCATCCAAAATACTGCCTAGCAACATTTTTATTCTGCTAATTTTGTGTCTAGCTGATACACTGCTTTATTTCAAGTTATGATCCTGAAAAGCATGATAAAGATTTTAGTAAATGCACTATGGCAGCGATTCTCAAGTAGAGTCAATTTTGTCTCCTAGGGAACTCTTGGCAATGTCTGGAGATAATGTTTGTTTCACAACTGGCGAGTGCTACTGGAATCTTGTAGGTATAGGACAGAAATTCTGCTAAACATCCTACAAGTACAGAAAGTCACTCCCCTCAACAATAATGATAATGACAAAGAATTACCTGGGCCAAGTGTCAACAGTGCTAAGGCTGAGAAACCTTGCATTAATGGTTACGTGATAAAATGAAAACAAAAATTATGGGATTGAAAGAATCAAATTTATATGACACTATCATTTTATTTTAAATTAGCCTTTAAAGCATAATACTGCTAATTATAAAAACATAACCTCTCTGGAAATAACAATTCTTTATAACGAGTAAATTAGTATCTTATTATAAATAAAGAAAAATCACTGGAGATGGAAAAGACATAAATGATGAAACTGTAATGGGGTACAGAGCAAGGTTACCCTGAAAGTTTAAGATACATTGCATAACAATGGCAAGTTACTGATTTGTTAAGCAATTAAAATGTGACATGTAAATGTAAACTGTATCAGAACTTAAAACAGTCCTCAGTGAACCCAGGTTCTATTTTTTTCTCATCAAAGTACTTTATACCAGAAAGCAGTACATGCTCAGTGTAGGAAAAATGGACAATAACTATATAATTTTATAAGATAGATAACCTGGGAATATAATGTACAGTATCATTAACAATACTATTTTGTATATCTGAAAGTCACTTAGAGAATAGATCTTAAAAGTTCTCATTACAAGAAAAAAACTTATTACTATGTATGGTGATGTATGTTAACTAAACTTATTGTGGTAATAATCTCAAAATATACACATATATCAAATCATGTCATATACCTAAACCTAATAAAATGTTATATATCAAGTATATCTCAATTAAAAAACAAAAAAAAAGTTATGTAAAAATATAAATGATGCACTGTGGTATATTTCCAATTTTTCATGAATCTAAATATGTAAAATAGATTATCTTTTAAGAAAAATATTTGGGGTCATATAAATATCATTTATCTTTCACTTAACATACTATAAACACGTTCCTAAGCTAATAGTCTTGATATTTTTTAAAAAATATATTTAAATGGATGTATAACATTTAACAGTATGGGTTTGCCATAATTTATGTAACCCTGTCTCTACTGTTGGACATTTTCAGTATTTCCAATAGCGTGCTATAATAATACTAACAACACTGTTAGTGAAAGCCAATATTTATTAGTACGACTTGCTACCAACTGTTATTAGCACTTTCTATATACTAATTTACTTAATCTTCATTTTATTTTTTTAAAGATTTTATTTATTTATTTTTAGACAGAGCGGGGAGGGAGGGCAAAAATGACAGAGAGAAATATCAATGTGCGGTTGCCTCTTGTGCACC